TTAAAAACATCTAAGTGGAAGACAAATTGAAATATGTTTTCTTTTAAGAAGATAATAGAGAATTTAGTCACATAAGGAACTTTATATTGGACTATTTAAATAAAATATGTTTTTATTCCCCCTCAGTTGCTGGATAGCGACAAGATTTCTTTGAGGCTTCATACTCCTTGTTTCCTGCGTTGTACTCACAAGTTGCATTTGAACATCATTAAGTTTCCAAAACACTGTTTAAAATTATAATTGTGGTCCGAATTTATTTCCAAGAATGATATGTGATTCTGAAGCACATTTTCTAGAAGAGAGCAAAAAACATGTTGTGTCATGTAACAGATTTTTTATAAATGTTTTCTTATCTCTCTGCTGCACAATTAGGAGTGTTAAAGTAAACTTCATTGAGTCTGTGAAAATAATTCCACCACTTGACAGTTAGCAGTAATTATGTCACCACATAACACTACCAGAGTAAAGTTTCTTAATTTCAGTGAAGGAGTTAGAAACCTTGTTAACTAAAGTTCATATTCATTCAATCTCTTCAATTTGTAAAAGCTCCTTTAAAAACAATAAAGCCCCTCAAAATTTCCCCCAAAGCAAAAGCTTCCTAATAGAATGCAATAAGATGTCCAGGAAGTGAACAATGGTTTTACGATAACACACACTGGATTGATACTGGGCTGCCTTACACAGCGTTGTGGAATTTACTGTGTGCCATCCCACCCCACCCACGCCCCCCCGACTGAGATTAGAGTTCTTCTCAGACTTTGAGATCAGTGACTATACAAGATGAAGAAACTTGCATATTGTTCTGTATTGGTGTCTGGCATTTAAAGTCTCGTTTTTCCCATTGCTGTGATTGGTTGGGAAATATGTAAAAACCAGTACATTGGTTTCCATGTTGTCTACTTTTTTTCAGGCAGTTCATGCAGTGTGTTTTTTAATTATTATTTGGTGGATTAGACGTTGTGGAACAAAAGGAGCTTTTTTAAACAGGAAGAACTACCTTGGGTTAGCTGTATGTACAGTCATCCAATGAGACGTTCCAGAGTGAATAGGGTACCAGTAGATTATGGAGAGGGGGACTATCCTTTTTTGCTGTTCTGAGCTACTATTGTCAACTGCTGTTGTACATATACTGTTATGTGTAAGGGGGTAAATATATTTATTATGTTTGTAAAATTCATTCTGTACAATTGCAGATCAAGGTTGCTCCTCTGTGATATACAGGATATTATGTTTCAAAGGCCATGCTTGGAATACGATTAGAGAACTTAGTATTTTGATGTACTAAGACCTATTTTAAGTTTAATATTTTGCCTTTGCAAAAACTTTAATTAAAGATGTTATTTAAAAATGTTTGCCACTTCATTTACTATCTTGCATATGCATTTGTTTCGTATATAAGGCTTATGACTATTACATAATAACACTGAAGGTTCTGAATTGATTTTCATCTCATGCAGGTAATTTCACTGTCACCTGCTTCTTGAGGTTTACCTTGCAGACTTTCCATTTAATGTCATCACAATGTTATAGAAAAAAATTCACAGTTTAATCTTGAGGCCAGACTTGTATATTTGTTTCAGTGTTTTCTCCCTGTGGTAACTTGAGGCTTAGGCATTGAGACAAGATTGATTGAACAACGTGGTGTTAGGGCCAATGGTATCCCGGAGTGCATCGGGAAGAGTGTGGTCAGCAGGTCCAGGGATGTGATCCTCCCCTTCTGCGTGGCCCTAGTGAGGCCACATCTGTAGTATTGTGTTCAATTCTGGTCACCACAGTTCACGACAGACAAAGAGCTACTGGAGAGGATCCAGTGGAGGCCACAAAGATGATTCGGCATCTGGATCATCTCTCTTTTGAGAAGAGACTGAGGGAGCGGGACCTGTTCAGTCCAGACAGGAGAAAACGGAGAAAGGTGTCGCATTAATGCATACAAATATCTCAAAAGCTGGTGCCAGGAGGATGGTGCCAGACTCTTCTAGGTGGTGCCCAGTGACAGGAACAAGGAGTAATGGGCATAAACTAAACCACAAGAAGTTCCACCTCAACATGAGGAAAGAGCTTCTTTACACTGAGAGTGTCAGAGGACTGGAAGAGGCTGCCCAGGGAGGTTATGGAATCTCTCTCTCTGGGGACATTCAAAACCCACCTGTGACATTCCTGTGTCGCCTGTTCCAGGTGATCCTGCCTTGGCTGGGAGGTTGGACTGGATGATCTCCAGAAGTCCCTTCCAACCCTAACAATTCTGTGATTCTGTGTGACATCTCAGTGTCAGTCCTGTAAGTGGAAATGCAAAACAATATCAAGAAGTAAAATGCAGAGTTCTTGAATGATAGCTGGCTGATCAAAAAGGTTTCGTCTTCATCAATTAATCTAATCTGACAGAATTGCTTTCTAGCATAAGCAGCTGACATATTTTTAGTTCTTGTCTAAAAGCAGTACCTTGAAACATGACTTGTGATTTATTTTTAAACCTAAGTTTTGAACTTGAAATTCTAATATAATTAGAAAGAAAGTAAGCTATAAGCTATACTGCCTCTATGGTGGTTGTATTTTGTAATGTGGGATTTTGACATAATCTTTTAGCTGTAGTGGTGTCAAGGTATAGCAAACGAAGATTCATAAGGAGTGATGTGTCTTGGTTTGGGTTTTTTCCCTGGTACTCAAGGGTTCTTTCTTTCTCTCCCCACTTTAATACTCCTCTTTCCCCTCCAACACTTGGGCAAGTTTGAAAAAACACAATATTGCTTTTTCCATAATGTTTGCCTTACTTGAAAAGGATTTGAAGTTGATTCTGGATAAATATCAGAATTGATGATGTTTTATCAAAAGAGATCATCACTCTCTGAGCTTGCATACTATGTAAGAAAAACAGGTCAGAAGAATGGCCTGTTGAATTGGCCAAAATGTTTTCAAAAGGACCCTGAAAAGAGGAGGCAAAACAGAATGATGGCAAATTAGTAGCATACTCAAGTTAAAACACATAAAAAAAGCTGGATTTAATTCCTGTAAGGAAAGATGAGAATGTTATAACTAAATGTTAATTGCACTCTCCCAGCTGTATTGGAATAAAGTATTTCAAGGATTATTTTTTTTTTCAAATTCAAGTATATTTAAAAATACATGAATTTTTTTTCTGTCTGATTTTTTTTTTTACAGCTTGTTTCTTGCCATTGCGGAGGTATGAGAGGATAAGAATCTTGGGATATTAGCATAGCTTTCAGTATATCCCCATTTAGTTTCAACTACACATCATTCCTTACAATTTGTCTTCAACTGTATCAGCTTTTGAGTTTGTGGGGTTTTTTTCTAACCCAGACTTTTGTTTGTGAAATACTCTAAGACTTGCCCTTTGTTTTTAGAGCAGATTCCAGCAGTCTTTTTTCCGACTGTTTTTACCACTAATGGGATTATGCTAAACTCTAATCCTTTTAGATGTAATGACATCTGTAGTACAGTCAGATGAACTGCAGTTGAACCACATTTAACCTTCAGTGTGGATATATAACATTCAGAAAATAATTTTTTATATGTTTTTCTTTGGAGTGAAATCTTTCCAAATTATTTTTTTGTGTAGTGCCTGTGCACTTGCATCTTCTGAGAGTATAAATGTGGATGCCCTTACATGACCTGAAAGAAGGTTATCTGAAATAAGGAATATGGAGAGAAAATAAATTAAATAGTGCTTTACATTACAAAGGATACTGAGTTACCCATTTACCCCATAGGTCAAAAACTGCTCTCTGAAGATGGATATTGGTGAACTGCTATTTTAAAATGCCTTTTTAATGATAACTATGTATCTAGCTTTGTTTCCATTTTTAATTCCGTTTTGGAAATAAAAAGTTACTGAACTGAAAACATGGTGTTTAATTTGGATAATTATATTTCAGTAGCAAATCCAAAACAAAGACTACCATTGAACTGTAAAAATAATTTAAAAAAAATCTTGTAACAGCAAAAAATGTTACGTGTGGACATGTGCTTCTGTCAAGGTAGAAATGCTTTTCCTTCGCTAGAGGAATCAAATGAAGGAGAACTGCGCTGCGGAAAAATTCTTCTAAGTGTCTGAACAGAGGACAACGTTTGAGTCCCAAGAGAGCTGGGATGCTGCTTTGCAAGTGCCAGAGCTGTCAGGATTTAGTGCCAAGGTTAAGAAAAACCCTGTCTTGCTGGTGATGGAGAAAACCATTTTGACTAGCAAAATAAGGAAGACAGTCTTATCTACCAAGGCTCCTGGCTGCCTGATTTTTCCAATTTCTCCTAGGAATCCTCCTGCCAGTCCTTGCAGATAGGGCTCCTCATGTGTCCTGCTGTACCTTTTCCCTCAGAGGAAGGACTGGCTGACTGGAGGTGGGCTGTCTGGTTCCAACAGGTAATGTATTCTGGAAAACGTAGCATTCTGGGAAGTGCAGCATTTTTAAAAAGGATTTATTGCGAAATTCACCTTGTAGAAATACTGTTTCTAGGTTTTGTTTTGGCACAGGGTTGCCTTTTGTTTCAGAAAATTCAAATTGTTGCAGAATGGAAGCTCTTTCCTCCTGAGCTCACCTTGTTCGAGCTTTTAACAAAGAAAAGGCATTAGTGCTGGGAGTAATATTTTTGACATACTGGTTTTTGTAGGCTGGATTTGTCTGTTTGTTTTTCATAAGTAGCTTCAGTCTTAAAACAGTAAAGTGGCATTAATGAAATTTTGTGTATGTTTAGAGAGTTGACAAATGGCTTGATAAGTGTAATGATGGTACTGGTGTTAAAAATGAGTTAGGTAAAGGAGAAGTACATTCACATCACAGACACTTCTGCATGTATCACTTAAGTTGGTTTTGGGAAGGGGCAGAGGAAAAGGGGAGCAGTTCTTAATTTTAGCAGATCAAATTGCTGTTAACCTTTATTTAGAGTATGTTTTAGCTCTCGTTTTCTGTCCTGAATGGTTTTCATATCCTGAAACAACTTTCTCCCTGAGGTTGCTGTGTTGCCACTTAGCCTAAATCAAGCCTAAAAAATCAAGGAGAGACTGCAAATGTTCTTTCTTGTCAAAAAAAGAAGTGTATGTATGAAATAAAAAAAAAAAAAACACAACCTTTTTTTTTTTCCCCCTGAACTTTCATGGGAAAGTGCATGTAACAGTGTATCAACAATCCTCCTAATTGGTTTTAAATTAAAATATACTTATTGCTGCTTTATACTGACATATCATTGCAGGGGTTAATTGGAAATCTGTAGCTGGCTAAAAAAGAATTGATCTGTTGTTTCCACAGCTCCCTCTAGGCAGCAGCAGTAATCCACACATGATTTAGGGAATTCTTACTACAGTCAAACCGAAAGCAACATTGTACATGCAGCACAAATACAGCCTTGGTGCTGCTTTGTATTTCAGTGCTATTGAGTTTGTGTCAGCAGCAAGCCAGGGAGAAAAGAAACATCCAGATAACACCTCAGAATTTGCAGTGAGAAGTTTTTTGTCAAAACTCGTATTACTACTTAGGTTTGATTTGTTGCAGCTTTGACTTCACAGAAGACATGGAGTACTGTAACTTTTCTTCACTTTTCAAAGAAAAACCACTGTAATTTCAGCTGAAACCAGCACAGGTTTGGCAGTCCAGCCAGTTATCAGTCTCAGTGTTTGAAGCAGGGAGTCTCTTCTTGGCAGCAAAGCAGGTCTTATAAAAATATCACAGTATATATGCAAGTAACAATCCAACAATTTCAATCACTTTGTAATGACTGTTTAGAGAGCTCTTAGATATGGGTTGTTAATGAAGTTGGTGTTCACAACAGATTTCATTCCTTAAAAGAGAGAAGAAAAATAGAGAACCCAAAGGAGACTCCTCATCACAGCTGCATTTTGAATAGCTGAGAACCAAAAATTAATGTGCTCCTTCTCCTCGAACTCGTTAACAAAGCTTCACAAGCTTCAGCAGAACTGTTGAAGGTATGCAGCAGTAAGGATATGATGTCAGATGGCCACGCAGACAAGCCCTGTCATTGCATATAATCTGGATGGCACAGAGAAGTCCTCCCCAAAAAGGTAGGGTAAGATTCCAGTTGATTATATTAATCCTACAAAAGTTAAGCTCTTGAAAGGAGTAAGTTCAGGATGGCCCCAATGAGGTCCAAGTGCTGTGCTACAGTTGATAAGACTTTTCCATGTTTTGGAATAGTTATCCAATATTTTCAGGGTGGAAAATAAGGATAGGCAGTTACAAAACTCCACAGGATTGGTATCCGTTCTAAGCTGAGAACTTGGTGATTGATTTGAGGTATTGTGGAAATCCATACCAATGTGTGTACATCGGGGGAGAGGGGAGGCAGGTGTGGGATGGGACAGGAAGTTAAAACTGATGGTTCTGCTGATGAAATACTGTGTATTGACCTCATAGAGCCTTCATTTGTTCACTTTCACGTTGTGATTTCCAGTCACACAAAAATAAGTCAGGTCAGATGGAAGGGCCTAAACAGATGAGAAGTGTTTCAGCTTTATGCAGATGTGTTAATCAGTGTGAATTCTAGGTTGACGCTGCTCTCAGAATCTCTTGGTGTGCATCACTAAGACCTCTTAACTATCTTCTGTTCCGGGGCATAATGATGGCCCTTCAACAGCTTGTGCCTTAGCCCACAAAGCCTACATCTAAATGCACTGTAATGTCATATATTTTCAGAATCCCTACCAAGGAGGAGGAGAGTGCATAATGGAAAGGCATGATATCCAACTAATTTTGTGCCTCGCTCTGTCCAATTTTAACAGCAACCCAGAAACCGTTTGATTACTGAGTGATTTTAGACTGCAGACACCTGGCATCTGTTAGAAAAACAATACAGATTGTATTGCTATTCCTCATCAGCCTGCTCAAAAACCTGGAAGGGAGGGTTTGGTTTATTTTCATACACAAGCATAGGGCTTCTGCTCAAATCAAGCTTCACTTTTGAAGGATATTTTTTTGGTACAGGTTTTCCAAAGACTATGCTATGAGCATTAATACTTTAATTATTCCATAAGAAAAGAAACAGAAGTGCATCTCATTTATGTTAATAAACCAAAATGTTATGGTAGTGATGTGAAACTTTGATTGCCTGTGCTATTTTCAAAATCCATGGTGTGCTGTACTTTGACTAGAGCTGACCTGTTGCAGATGGTGTCATCTAGAACCGATACCTACTCAATAAAAAAACCCCACATCTGGCTAGCAAAGGTCAGAGAATGTTCCAAGTCTTTATAACTAGGGCTCCAGCTCAACTTTACAGCTTTTTTCTATAGTGTTTGAGAATGAAGAAATCTTCAGTAGTGTATTACCACCACATCAAGCAAATAGAATCATAGAACTTTGTGTAGAGAAAATAATGACATTCTCTGCCACCCTGAAACAGGATTTTCTGTCCTCCAGTCTGAAATCTCAGAGCCATCTGAAGCCCCAAAGATTGGTGTTATTGTCTCTTCCCATTTCTGTGCAGAGTTCTGAGAGAAGCCTCTGCCCTCATGTGAAAGCACTTGAGCTATGAGGTCAAATCCATTGAGGCAGCACTGTGAATAGGGAGTATGCTGTTTTTCACTCAGCTGGATTTTTTTACTTGGGCTCTGAAGTCGGGCCTACTGAAGGAAGATGAAATTGAAGCTGCCTTTGCAGTCTGAATAGGGGAACTGGTTGAACATAAGAAAAGTGGCTGCTGTGGAGCAGACCAAAGATCCTTCTGTGCCAGAATCCTGACTCTGATAGCTGCTAATGGTGTGTGGTTGGCCAAGAATAAAACAGTAAGCAAGCACACGTGATACACTCCCCAAGTACTGCCTCCCATTTGCCAAATATTTGCAGTTCAGGAGCATCCCCAGTCTTACGGTTTGGAGGTTTAGTATGTTTCCTCAGTTTTCTCTTCCATGAATTTTCAGTTTCTCTGTAAACCCATGTAAATGTTATGACCCACAGGAACCTTTGAGAGGAAGTTCAGCAACTCAGATGCTACTCCTGACTTCACTGAGCTTTATCGTTTCCCGTCTAGTCTGAGGGCTCTTACTTTACTTAGTGATTCCTTAGCTGTAATTCCAATCCTTTCATTTTTCTTACTACCCTAATCTAAAACTTTTCTAGTTCCATTATATTAGTTTTCTATTGTTCTACTCTTTTCCCAATAGTATAATTTGATTTGCTTCTTCAGGAAGCGTAAGATGGTATTTTCATGAACTTTTCTACTGTACTCCTAAGATCCTGTCCCTGAATTGGGGTTGTCAGCTCAGAACATGTAATTTAAGATATCAATTTGTATTTTTTTAATCAAATGTATCACTTTATCTACATTGAATTCCTCTTAATTCAGTCTTAAGAAGTCTTCCTACAGTTCTTCATAGCCATCTGTTTTTTTATTCCTCTGAATATCTCGATATTATAGCAATCTTTGTTATCTTACTGTTCAGTCCTTTTTCGAGGTCCCTTATGCACATACTGAACTTCCTAGGCCGCCTGGAACTAATTACTCCTTGTCACTTGTTGGCCCATTGGATTTTATTGTAGCCTATAAGCTAAATTGCACTAACTGATGGCAATTGGCATCTGCAACTGAGAAAAAGCTTTCCTTGCTTCATGTAGCAGGAAGCACAATTACAGGTGTAATTGGCAAGGTGCACAGATAGTGAAAGTCAGGTGTCATTTTTGGGACAGGGGGAGTACATGAAGATAGCCAATATTTGATCACGTTGACAGTTTTCAGCAGTGGAAGTTGTCCCTCACATGTTTGGGAGTTGTTGGGGTTTTTTTTCGATAATGCAAGGATCCATATAGCAGAGATAGTAATTCTCTACTGATAAGAATTATGGAACATAAAATTTGGCAGCATAAATTTTGACAAATATGGTGCTAGGGATATTTGCTCTGAGGGAAGACCTAGCGGGAGGGAGGGATCTTATTTCATGTTGCATATGGCCAGATTCGGTTCGTTATTCTGAGAATTCCTGCAATAGAGTCCACCACACAATGTTCGTTGTATGTAAGTGTTTTTTCATGAAGTATTCAATCCTTAGTCCCTGTGGCAGACCATAGACATTAAGTTTAAAGGAGAATGAAAAGATTAGATTCCAGATTTAGTTTTTTGAAGAGGACCTCATGGCTGTTAGGTGATTCTTCTGACTGTCCTGGATGTAATTAATTATGTTTTTGGAATCCCAGAGCTCAGCAGTACTACTACCGTTCCTTTCTATCCCTGCTGAACTGTCTGAGATGACCATTTAGGAAATCCCTCTCACAGCTAAAGATGGAAGGGAAAAAACCCAAACCTATGTCAGACAGTGTGTTGTGCGGTCAATCTTTTTGGCTGTAGGTCAACCAAGGAGAACAATGAAGTTAAGTGCAAAAGAAATAGTATTAACTTCTTCCATAGAAAAAATATTTTAAAACCTTCAGAAAAAACTTGCTGAGCCTCTTCCAATTTTGAACAAAACATTTTATTCCAATGCTCTGCATTATTTCTAAAGTATTCTAGAGAAAATACTTACCAAATGCCAGAAATAATACATCTTACTGAGACAGATTTAAAATAGCAAGTATTACATAAAGGTGTGCGCAAAACCAAAAATGGCTGAAGGGATTGATCAGGGCAGAAATGGAAGAGAATATCTGTAGGATACAAACATTTACAAGAAAAGGTCTGACAAATGAATTATTTAAAGTCTATTGCCTGGACCTTTCCAATAGCTTTTAAAATATTTTTCACGAAGTTAAACACAAGGAAGAATAAGGAAGACAAACTGGAAATATTAAACTTCATTGATAAAGACAACATCGCGTAATTCTTTTAGTAGGCAATAATATATATGCAATCATGAGAGCTAGAAAAGCTCAATAATGTGTAAATATAGCTGTCCTCTATTAGTAACAGCAAAAAGCTGTATTAATTCAAAAGCAACCTGTGTCAGTCCAACATACCACATCATTCCAATGTCCTACTAATTTCCATGGAACAAATATTCTGGTTTAATGTAAAAAGAGGTTTGAAATAAATGATCTGTGTTACTTTTAAAAGCGTTTTTAATGTAAATGTTGATTTAGTCTTTCCTCTCTGAAAAAGAATATGATTCAAGCTTGGATGTTCTTTTCTGCTGGTACACTGGTATCTGCGAAGTCTGTAGCATAAATGTCCATTAGAACTTGATTGTCTTAGCTGCTGCTGAGATACTAAAGGCGCTCAGGAAACTTTTTCTCCCTTTAATGGTTATTCCAGTATCAGAAGGGTGGCAGAACCTGGGGATGGGGTTGCATTTCAACATAGTACTGCTATGGGACTCTTCAGCACAGCCAGAGCATCACAGATGCAGCTGTTTAAAAATAGGGAACTTTGCTGATCTGCACACTTAAGCAGCTATGTTTCTGTTTCTGATTTAATACTGGTTGAGTCCAGATTACAGAAGGGAAGGTCATAAATCATTGTTGGTTTCAAAGTTTACTGAGAATGAACAAAAAAATGGAAGTGTGCTCCTCGCCCAGAACAAGCAGCTAAATTAATCTATAATGCAATATTGTAGATTTTTTTTTGTTGCATTAACAGTGATGGATTAATTATTTTCTATAAGACCATCACATGGAATTGGTCAATCTAGGCCCTTGTTTCTGCTCACTGAGGCAGCTTTCGTTTATAATCAGAAATAAGAAATCAAATTGAGTTTGAATTAGAGCATGTGCATGGCATTTGCAATCATTCAGTTTCCAGCTGTAGGAGCTAGCAGTTTGAAGGGCTAGACCATTGTGTTTTTTCGGATACTACTAGCTCACATTATAAAAGATCTGACAATTGTCTATTCACTTTAATTATAGTTTCTCAAAGACCATAATTCCATTAAAACCAGTATAGATGTTCAAAAATTAATTTTACAATACCTACCTGAAGGCAAATATTCATGCAGTGTTCTCCATTCTTATGGCAAGGCTTTCAGATAGCTGAGTGAAATGACCAATGGTAATCTTGGTAGCAGTCTACAGAGCTAGTCTGTACGGTTGACTGTGAACAGATCTGATCCTGCTGGCACTCAGGACACACAAGTGTTAACAAGCCAGCTGGGCAGAGCTGCTCCTACCCTGAGTCCTGATGTCTGCAGGAGGTGTAGAGAGGCAGGCCCCAGTTAATTTGTTTGTGGTGTATGAATGAACTGAGCACAGCCAAGCTTTATCTTGATCTGGCCCCATTTAGCAGCAGGTATGGCAGAAGGACGCTTTAGTGCTTCACCGGAGCAAAAGACCAGAGCAAATGAGTTATTCCTTGTATCTGAGCTTGGATTTCCTTAAGCACAGTGTGGAAAGTATGTGCCCAAGCTACAGACAGGCTGTGGCCAACCAGAAGCAAACCATGTGATTTGTGTAGTTGTACTGCAGACATTAGAGAAGTCAGATAACAGATCTCACTACAAGATAGATGTTCTTAAAACATGTTGGAGGAGCTGGAGGTCAGCCTTCAGTTCAACAACTGTATGGAGTGAAGTAACCTAAAGGGGTGATCCACTCCTGTGGTCTAAGTGCAGATTTGAGGCAGTTCAAGTGCTAAAGGGAAAGCCATTCTAGCCCTGTAAGAGAGAGGTAAGCAGGGATAGCAGTAGTGGTGAGAAAGCTGGAGTTACAGGGTGTTCAGAGCAATAAACATGCTCAGATTAAACAGCACTGGAGTATGGTAAAAACTGGATGAGTAATCAAAAAATAAAAATACAAACATTATTAACTTGACTGGGTAGCATGATCTTCAAAACAAATATACCACTACATAGCCGTATGAAGAAGCTTCTTTTTCCACCTCACCCAACTAAACCAAGAATGGCAAACAAAAGGCTAGATTTGTTTTAGGTCAGGATGACAGAAGCAGAAGAAATCTGTTCCATTTTAGGCCTAGTGAAAGTTTTAGAAATTTGCTATTAGAAAACAAACTGAACCTTTTGATACATAGGCATTTGAGAACTTCAACTTTTTTTTTAATCTCATTTTAATTATAAAACTTTGTCCTTTTTTTAGTCATGTAAGTACCTCCAAGTCGTATTGTTATTTTCCTGCTACCTTAATTTTTTTTAGATTAGCGTATACTTTAGATTTGTTTAGTTTTTATATATAAATTTTCCTAGTTAGAAAAAGTATTCACATCTACTTTGAGAATTATCATCAGAACAGCAACTTTTGACCTGCACTGATAAAAGTGTGAGACAAGAGATTCAAATGAGTGGCTTGTCCAGAAGAAGACCACTCTGAAGGTACTTTCAGACATAGCAAGGGGTATTCTATGGAAAAAAGATATGGAGAATGTTATCTTCTCACTTGATTCACTGTATGCACAATCACCGCTTGACCAGATTTTGGCTGTGATACTTTAAGATGTTATAGCTCAGTCTGTTTGCATTCTTCCATGAGAACTTGGTTCTGCACTGTTACAGCAGGAAGGTAATCATTGACTGGGTCTTGAATGCTTGTGAGAATCTGACCTATCCCTCGGCTGATTCTCTGCCCATATGACCCACTGCTGTTTTTGACTGAGATTGTCTGACCTCTGTAGATTTGAGCCTGATGCTCACATATACCAAACTTGCTTAGCAGGATAAACACATCTCTACGAAAAGCTTTGGTGAAAATTGCATAAAGAAAGGGGTTGGCACAAGAATTGAGGGGATAGAAAAGTACCAGCAAAATCTTGGAATTGGTGACAGTTATCAACGGTTTGTTCATAATGGCAGATAAAGCATGGAAAGAGATGGGAGCCATGCACAGAAAGTCTGTGAAAATCAACACAGCCATCCGCTTGGCAATTTTGGTGTCTTTGTCCCCTGACTTGTACTGAGGGTTTCGCACAGTTACATAGATTTTTATGTAGCAGGCACAAATGATGACAAAAGCAATAATGTTACATATTAAAACAAAGACAACATAGGCTTCAGCCACTGGTGTTTCAGTGTCCATAGGCAAGCAGATGCTGACTTTGCTGTAGCTACTGACCCCAAGCAGTGGTAATAAGGCAAGCAGAATGCATGAGAACCACCCTCCCAGCATGATAACCAAGGCGTGCCGGAGGTGAATCTTCCGATCTGGGCGCATGGCAAATGTGATGGCGTACCAGCGCTCCAGGGTGATCACAGTCAGTGTGTACACAGACAGTTCACTAGCAAAGACTGTGAAAAAGCCAGCTGTGTTGCAACCGGGCCCAGTCTGCCACTCTATGGCATGGTTATAGTACTCTGACCTGGTGTAGAGATCTACTGAGGCGATCAGAAGGAGATATAACCCCATGCAAAAGTCAGCGAAGGCCAAGTTACACATCAAAAAGCGTGGTACAGTCAGTTTATAATGGCTGGTGAGAAGGATGAAAAGGACAAAAATATTACCTAGGATGGCAAGCAGGTTCACAAACCACACCACAATCCTCAGAAATTGATATCCCATTATATCCTCACAGGGATTAAACTCATCAGGCTCTGGTGTGCACATTACATCTTCATTGCCTCCACAGACAGGATAGTCATAATGACTGTCAAAGGTCTGGACATCTTCCGTTTGAGGGTTTTTGAGCTCTTTGCCAAAGCCAAGATTTCCTTCTCCATGTTCTTCCAAGAAAATGTAATAATGGGAATTTTCGTGAAAATTCGTGAACTTGGTGTTTGTGTCATACACAGCATCGGTGTGATCTGTGTATTCTTCTGCGTAATCTTTGTAAAAGGGACCTCTGAGAGTTTTGACTGATCTCTTATGAAAGCTGTGGCTGCCGCTCTGGTTACAAGTCAGGTACTCCAGGATCCTGAAAGAGTAGCAGGGAAAATAATTTCTGGCATTTACCGTCTGACTGGAGCACAGTAATCAAAGGGAACACTTCAAATCATCACAAATGAAAACATAGCTATAAACATGTGATTGGATATATTTCTGTTAACAGAACATATAGTGTACAATAAGCTTGAACACTTCTGGGCTTTTTTTTTTAACTATATTTTTACTTTCTGTGTTGCTATCAGCTGTCTCTGGTAGTAATTTGACTTGTTTAGTATCCATAATTCCTCTTCCCTTTTGGGATCTACATTCTTAGTAGGTAACAAGACATTTATCTACTGTTTATAACTACTTAGATAATACACACAGCATTTCTTTTTTCACTGTTGCTCACAAATCAGTTTCTCCCAGAACTTCCATCAGTTTAATATCTGTTCTGTAGGTTGTTTATAGCTAACTAGCAGTGCAGTGATTTGGAACACTGTACTTCACCGTGTGATGCAGCTGTATTTCTAGTGAAAAATTTTTCAGTAGTCAAAAGCTTTTCAGTTTAAAAACATATTAGACTTGAGGCTATAATCCCTCCCACACTTCTCCAGGTCTTACTATAGTACTGTATCCTTTTCTTTTTTCTTTCGCTTTAATTCTGGACTCAACAAGACGAGGAACTTCTGGAAAAGTTCCTACAAAACATTCTTTTTTCTGCCAGTTTGCAATTGTAATCTCTGTTTCAAAGAGCATCATCTATACCTAGAAAAAATTGTAACAAAAGTGGCAATAGATGTAATTTTATATTAAAAATAAAACATCGTCTTCACTTTCAAACTTAAAAAAAGAATGACAGTGAAACTCACCCACTTTTTTTTTTCCAGCTCTTGAAAGCACAGCAGTGACTTGGGTATGATAGGTCAGCTCGCATTATCTGAAGAAATATCTTTACAGCTGGTAATTTCTTTAAAGTCCATGTATTTTTGGCCATTAGTTCTTTTAGGCTTTCCAGTCCTTTGGCTGGAAGGTTAGAGATAGCTGTTCTGGAGACATCCCTAGGTAAAGGAAGAAAAAGACAAATGTCAGAATATTCACTGAATGGATCAGAATTTTTTCATTGAGAATTTTTGCCTAATCATATACCTATTTCTGAGTATTGCAATAGTTAAAAAAGCATAAAATATATAATAAATATATAATAGATGGGCTTAGACTATAGATATTATTTTATTCTCTACTGAAAGATTTTTTTAAATCTACAAATTTGCATTGTTTAATTAGCAGAATGCAGAGTGCTCCTGTTGCTTGAAGACTTGCTCGTGCCCAGTGGCAGGAACAACAGAATCTCCTGAGGTAGGACCCATTCTTAGATTGGGAAATGATGCTTTAAAGAGCAATTCTGCATTCTGTAGAGAATTAACTAATCATATATATCTTGTGTGACTGTAATGTTTTGAGTTTGGACTGTGTGTTTTGTAAAAGCTAATTGACTAATGAGCCTGATTGTATTTTTGTTGTACTCTGTTGAACTTTTGCTCTGGGCAGCAGCTCTCATTGCATTTAGTAAATCAGGTCCGCTGAATTGCTGCATCCTTGCCAAGATTTCATTTTCAGATGAAGAGCAATGTACTGTTATTATCCTGTTAAAATAGTTTTCTAAAGGGAGCAATCTGTGTATACATCTATGCAGATGCTGGATACATCTGGACATCAGTGACAAAGGAATCAGAATTACTGACTCCCTGCTTCTTTTGCTGTTGTAAACTGAAAATTTGAAAAAAAAAATATTACGTAACTTTTCAATATCTACTTAACTAAAACATCTAATTAGGGGATCTGAAAGCATGGCCAAACTAACACAACAAAGATATAGACAGGCACAATTCTTTGTAGTTAAATCTTTCTCATTGGTTTTCTTTTAAGTCAAATGGAATATTATCCCATTAGGGTGGATCCATGGTCTGTATTTCAGCCTCTAAGTTGCTGTTGCTGCTGAAATTCTGATTGGAAAAAAGCACCATCTGTGGGGCAGATGTTCCATCAACCATAAATTCTTATCTCAATTCAAGAGTGCATAAAGGGAACTCCAGACAATTAGTTCTTCCAGCTTGCTAGGGGAGGCAAGACAGAGTTTCTCTTTTGAGATCCATAAATGTTCCTTCTTTTCTTTTTTTTTTTTTTTAGTTTTTTTTCTGCATACTGCTCCCACTCTGAGTGCCATTCATTGCTCCAATAAAAAAACAATATTCTCTCAATAATTTTCCATAGAGTTAATTTTCAAGGCAAAACAGTTTTGAAAGTAGAACTTTCTTTTTGAGGAATATCCGATGGCCAGCTAACAACAGCTAAGTGCCTGAAGCAAAAATGACTAAACAAATTATTTCTTATAATAAGCCAAGCTGTTTATGCTGCCCAAAGAATATGGATGGGCTGTGTTGGTCAGACTTCTCAGACTGTTATGCAAGTTAACAAATCTCTGGTCTCTCTGTAAATGACTCATTAATATTGATTATGATGGTATAGTGCAGAGTGTATACTAAGGCACTAATTCCAAGAACACTTCTGTTTCCTGTGGGAGATATTAGTGGCCACTGACATGACACAACAATAAATATTAGATTTCCACTCAGTTTTGGGTTTGGCTGGCATAGAGTTAAATTTCTTCAGAGCAGCTAGTATGAGGCTATGTTTTTGATTTGTGAGTGCAAATTGTGTTGATAATACAGGGATGTTTCAGCTACCACTGGGCAGTGCTTGCACTGAGCCAAGGCATTTTCTGCTACTCACACCATCTGACCAGCGAAGAGGCTGAGGGTGCACAAGATTTTGGGAGGGGACACAGCCAGGACAGCTGACCCCAACTGATGAAGGGATATTCCAGACCTTATCACATCATGCTCAGCAATAAAAACTGGGTGGAAGTTTGCCAGGACTGCCATTGCTTGGGGGCTGACTGGGCATTGATGGGCTGGTGATGAGCAATTGGTTTTGTTGCATCACTTGTTGTTCTTGGGTTTGGTTTGCTTTCTTCCCCCTCTGGTTTGTGTTTTCAGGGTTTTTTTTGTGTGTGTGTGGGGGGTCCATGTGTTTTTTTTTAATTATTAAACTGTAATTATCTCAACCCATGAGTTTTCTCACTTTTACCCTTCCAGTTCTCTCCCCAAGCCAGCTGCGTGCAGGGGTGAGTCAGCAGCTGTGTGGACCTGAGATTCAGGCCAGGGTTAAACTGTGACACCGTATTAAAATCTTTAGCTTAGGACTAGTATATCAAAGTACCATGATGTGAAATACTCTGGCTTTTTAAATCACTGTTGATTTACTATGCTTACATGCCATTTTTTGCTTTCTGCCTTTGAAAAGCAATACCTCTCTCTGTAATGACACTATTTCTCTTTAGTTGTAAGTAATACTAGAACTCTTATTAGCTGTGGAGATATATCATTCGAATAGGAGATGGATAGCTGGCTGTTTAGACTGAAATATAAAACGTCCTGAGATTGAGGATCAGTGGTAGTTAGGATAGCACAATAATTGTAGAAGATTAGAAAAAATTCAAGTCATTTGAGAGATCTAACTTGAAAACACAGAATAAGAGGGAAGTTCTTTACAATTAGATATGCATATCCTAGGAAGTCATCTCTAGCCCCTAAACCAAGAGGTTTCATGTAGCTCACACATCTCAAAGTTAGCCCTTGCAGAGGGAGCTTACCTGGCAGTGTTACTATCGCATATGATTAACCCACAACTCTTAGCACCATTTTAACTTGTTCACGTGTCTAGCATAACAATAGCAACATTTAAATACCCACAGTAACCAAAGTTGGAGTCAAAAGAGTCAAAAATCTGTGCTGCTGCAAGCGCTCACCTCCCTTTGACTTAAGATTCTCAGTATTTTGTCTTCTGCCGTCCCTAGGAAGCAGCTTTTCAACCCATTGTGCCACCTGTAGCCTCAGAGGGAAGATGTGCAGTGCTATGTTTGGGAGCTGTACAACACCCCAAATATAACAGAAGAGTGCACCTTGCTTGGAGACTGTATTTATTGTGACCATGTGATATCGTAATGGAAATCCAGGTAAAGCTCTATCAACTGAAAAATGTCTTTCTGACCAGGAACAAAATGAGAAAGGGCTTCTCTGGTGCCATCTGCAATATTCAGAAAAATGCCTTATTATCCAAATTCTAATAAAAAAAAGGCTGCCATGTGACCAACCCAGCCTCTGTCACAGTTCTCTGACCATGGCCATTCTAGTTCAGGGGTAGGTAGCCTGACCCCTTCTGAAAGTAGAAGCAGTGGAAATGAAGGTGATGCAACTAGCAGGGAGGAAGAGGAGCAACAGCCACCACAGACAGTAAGTTGAACAGCCCCTTTGTGAACTTTTTCAGCTTTCCCTCTTGATTTGTTGCCTTCTGCTTCCTGAACACACTCTTTTACTCTGCCTAGGTGGCCAGTTCTGATGTTGAACCAGGGCTTTGACTGTGCTTTTCTTATACAAAATGTATAGCTTTTAAGACATGGCCAGAAAATACTACCATCTCTCTGCTGTCTCAGGATCTGACCACTCATGACACAACTGAGGTTTATCTCTCAGGTGAGTCAGTGATATGAAAAAACAAAAAGGCATGTTTATGTTCGACAGTATCCTGAGGGACACAGTGCTGTGTGTTACTGCCTTTACCTATTCTTCTCATACACATCTGCATCCCAAGGATTTTGCAGCTCCAAATTAAGAGGTCTGGACTAGTTCCCTCCCTTTGCAAACCTCTGGAGAGAAGCACTGGGTGAGATGACCCAGCCCACAAGCTGGTATCTAGGGCTGCCAGACTTGAGGTGAGAAGGTTTTGATGTATGTTATCCCTGCTGACCTATGTAGTTTTTTGTAGAGGGAAGGGCAATGAAAGTAGTGAGTGAAGTGGGGAGGAAGAACTGGCCTGCATGTCTGTAAGGATGACTTCACTGGTGCTTCCCAACTTCATTTTTCTGAGCAGCTCCAAAGCAGAGCAGCTGGTGATGCATCAGGGCTCACTGGGAAAGTGACTTTAGAAATGGACAAAATGTCACCCAGAGGAGTGGCTTGGCATGGAATTGCTGTTGGATTGACTGATTATGACAAAGTGACCCACTTAGTGACCCATCTACTTTCTCAGTAAGTAGATGAGAAAAAGTCTATCTAGATTTCAGTAAAGCCTTTGGTACTGTCTTCCACAGCATCCTGCTTGCAGCTTGGATGGGTGGACTCTTTGATAGGTAAAGAATTGGCTGAATGTCCAGGCCCAGAGAGTTGTAGTGAATGGAACTAAATCCAGTTGGCAGCCAGTCACTAGTGGTGTTCCCCAGGACTCAATTTTGGGGCCAGTCCTGTTTAACATCTTTATTGATGATCTGGACATGGTGATTGAGAACATCCTTGGTAAATTTGCAGGTGGCACCAAGTTGGGTGGGTATGTTGATTTGCTCAAGAGTAGGAAGGTTCTGCAGAAAGACCTGGACAAACTCAATCACTGGGCTAAGGACAACTCCATGAGGTTCAATAAGACAAAGTGCCGGGTCCTGCACTTGGGTCGCAGCAACCCCATGCAATGATATAGGCTCAGGGAGGAGTGGCTTCAGAACTGTTCAGCAGCAAGGGACTTGGGGGTGCTGGTTGACAGCTGGCTCAATATGAGGCAACAATGTGCCCAGGTGGCCAAGAAGGCCAATGGCATCTTGGCCTGTATCAAGAAGAGTGTAGCCAGGAGGACTAAGGAAGTGATCATTCCCCTGTAATCAGCATTGGTGAGGCTGCACCCCAAGCACTACGTTTGGTTCTGGGCCCTGCACTTTAAAAGACATGGAGGTGCTGGAGCATGTCCAGAGAAGGGCAACAAGGCTTGTGAAGGGTCTAGAAAACATGTCTCATGAGGAACAGCTGAAGGAGTTCGGTTTGTTTAATCTCAAGGAGAGGAGGCTCTGGGGGGACCTCACCACTCTCTACAACTGCATGAAAGGAGGTTGTGGTGAGGTGGGGACCAGTCTCTTCTACCGTGCCTGCAGTTAGAGGACTAGAGGAAATGACCTTAAGCTGAGAGAGGGGAGATTCAGATTAGATATTAGAAAAACATTTTTCACTATTAGGGCATTGGAATAGGTTGCCCAGGGAGGTGATGGAGTCACTATCCCTGGAGGTTTCTAAGAGGCATCTGGATCTGACACTGGGTGATGTGGTTTAGTGGTTTGGGGGTTACAGTGGTAGTGCTGGGTTGATGGTTGGACTAGATGATCTTAAAGGTCTCATTTAACCTTGAAGATTCAATGATTCTATGATTATTATGGACTGCCCCTCTAATGTCCAATTATTCAAGGTATCTGCTTCAGACATATGACTCTCTCTCCCCTCACGCCAGTAAAGTGAAAACCTAGTATTTCCCAGAACTGGTCTCACGTCCTGTTTCCAAAGACTCTGCTAATAACTTCGATGGACCTTGTGGTAAAGAGTGATATTGAGGAAGGATGTGGTCCTGAAAGGTGGGCCTGCAGCCAGATCTTCCTCTTCACCCCAGAAGACAATGTAATTTAGGTGACTGAAGCAGAAGATAGGCTACCATTCGCACACAGGCCTTGGAATGCATCTGACTTGAGATATCGGGAACAGAGAGAACCAGAGGTGTGATGATGACCTTACCACAAAGATTTGTTGCAATTTTGCACAGCATAGACACAACTCTTCTTAGCATAAATTGGTTATGATCAGTACAACTTCTGCTGTAGTTTCCTATGTTGCTGGTAGCAAGCCTGATTTTCTAGAGTTGGAAAGATTCTGGAACAAAAATAATATCTTCTGCAACTTTTGTTATTATAGCTAGCTGCTAGGATCCTTCTGTGAACAATACCCTGTTATTCTGCCATGAATATGCTATTCTCCTGAAGAGCAGAAAGTAAAAGTTATTCTTGCATGGACTGAGCACTGCCAGCACCATCTGGTTTTGCAGTGGAGGAGGAAATCCCTCTTTCAGTATTTTAGTTCTCCTTGTGATCAGTCGTATGCTCTACATTACATACTACATGATTTGAGCCAGGGAACATGATTCTTCAAGAAGTTCTTAACTTCTTTAAAGCTTTTATTTTCATTCTGTATTATGATTCCTAATTTTAGTGAAAAGTTCTTTAGAGAACTATAAAATCAGACTGGAAGCAAATTACATGAGAAAGAAGAAAAGACAGCACTAGAAGTAAGTATTTTTCTGTCTAAAATTATTTTTTCATCTCTCAATTTCCTTTACCTGTGTGCTACTAGGGTCCTTATTTTATATTACAATTGTACAGTCGTAAAACAGACTGTAGTACAGAATCTTTCAAAAGAAAAATGGGTAGGAACAGTGTATGTACTTGTATTAGGGAGAGGTTCGAGGATATACTGAAGCTTGAAACCACGACACCGTTGAAAGCTTAACAAAAACCAAGATTTATTACCAAGAGGGTGGCCAACAAAACAAACCCAAAAGGGAGGAAGGAGGAGAGAAATAAGCCCCAGTTACCCAACTGTTGCCCATAAAGTTATCTTACCGACCTAGCGTGCCTATAATTACCCATAGCAGAAGCGGCATCCTTGGAAAGTCAGTAAGTTCACAAAACTGGCAGGCGTCCCCACCGAAAGGCAACGTTGTCCTTGATGTGAAGTTAACTCCTCTCTAAGAAAGCACTAACTACTTTTATACAATTGACTGAGTGACCACAACCTCCCAGGTGTGGCCAGCACCGCCCAGCCAGAGGCCCTCAGTCCCACCTCCTGGTTATGTAAGTGCATCTCTTCTGCGCATGCGTAAGAACTTCGGAAATCCCCTCACGCACGCACAGTATGTTTTGGGGGTCTTTCTTAATTGAGTCTGGGGGCGAGCCTTCCTCACTTCATCATCACTTTCTCCTCCAAATGCCCTTGACGAGCCATTAACCAATCACAGAAGACCAATTAAAACAGTTTATACAAGAAGCTCTCTTCAAGGACAACTTTCCCGTTTATCAGTGCTTGTTTTCCCATAACTTGGCAGGGAAAGAGCAAAGCTTTCACAGGTGGCAGGGCCAAACACAGACCAAAAGTATCAGCATAAATTTACCCTGGTACAGTACTGTAAGATACAAGCATTTTATAAATCAGTTCCCTAAAGCATAGCTTCTATTACTGGTATTATTTTTGTAAACATGCTATTCCCATCCCTGCTACTCTGCTCCTAATGGTTGGAAAGAAAGTGCAGCCTAAAATGGTATTATTTTTAAAGATTTCTCTACTTCATTTTCTTATACTTACAGTAGAGTTGGTCCACTGTGCACTCCCAGAAATGCATCATCATTGATAACTTCCAGGTATTTGTTCTTGTGCAGATAGCTGCAGAAAGAAACAAAACACAGTGATGTGGAAATAGTTATCCATAGGTTACAGGAGATCTCCAGTTTACTTGCCTGAACAGGTCTACAAAAGCAATATGTATTAGGGTCATCCTACTCCAATAGCATATTTAAGCATAATCAGTTAGTTCATTTTCTATGTACCCAAGAAACAAAATAAAGGTTTTCCATTTTGAAAAGAAATTAAATTCCTCAATTAATAAACTTCCTAATTTATTGAATATATTTTTTGTCATTGTCATACACATAATAAGGACACATGCATGCACACTGTATCTTCAGGTACATATGTGTGATGCTGAGGTGAAATAGTTTTGATTTATTTTATCAGAATGAGGTATGGGGAATTACCCTGTTACAGAATCGCAGAATATTCTGAGTCGAAAGAGACCCACAAGCATCATCAAGTCCAACTCTTAAGTGAAAGGCCCATACAGGGATCGAACCCACAACCTTGGCATTATTAGTATCATGGTCTAACCAACTAAGCTAGCAAATCATGAACAAGCAGGAAAATAATTTCCTCTGTGTTTTGAGTTTGATAAAAGTTTTAAATGCTTTAAAATCCCCATAGTGAAGAGTAGGTTTCCTTATACAGGTCAAAAGTTAAGACTGAAGTTGTGTTATAAGAGCAAGAGTGGGAGTAAGGAGAGGAACTTCAAAGTAAAAAAATAATGCTAAAGTCTTGGGAAAACCATGAACAATTTCCTGAGTATCCAGCCCACACTTTCCTGACATGTGTAAAGCTGCAAATTTCTCCTATCATTACATGATTGAGGTAGGCAAAGGCCGACATTAATTCCCATCACTCTGTAAACTGATGTATAGCAAACTATGGATTCAGGAGTAGGGAATTTAGAGTTGAGTTAAAGGTGCATGGTTAAAGACAGGTAATGCAAGGCTACTGAACACTCAAAAAATTAACATAACCCAAATAGCACAATCAATGTTAAATTAATTTATGGGGTTTTAGATTTAAAAGTGACTGATCTAGAATTAATCTTGATTTTATTTTTTTTTAAGCTGGATTCTTGTTTACCATGGTCTGAAACTGTCATTTGAAACACTTATAGATACATGGATTATTATTGCAGGTAATTCAGTAAAGTTCCAAATTGCATCCGAGAGGCTATGCATTTCTGTCTGAGACTTTTGTTCCCAACGGCCCAGTAGAATTTATAGTTTTTGTGAAAAGACTTAGGACAAATAATTGGCTTCACTAGCTCCACAATTGTAGGTGTACGAAAAACCCTGCTGCAGGAGCAGCAGAAGCACAGTGTTGTGTTTTAACCCCAGCTGACAACTAAGAACCACTCAGCTGCTGGCACACCCCCCACCTCCCCCTGGTTGGAGAGTAGAGTTGGAAAGAAGGAAAAACATGTGTGTTGAGATAAGATCAACTTAATAATTGGGAAAAAAATTGTACTGGAAAGGGAGACAGCAAAAAGAGAGACAGAAATAAAACCCCAAAAGCCTCAAATGTTTCACAATACCATTGCTCTCCACCCGCTGACTGATGCCCAGTCAGGCCCCCAGCAGCACTTGGGCCCTTCCAGCCAAGTGCCCCCAGTTCATATGCTGGGCATGATGTTCTGTTGTGTGGAATATCCCTTTGCCCAGTTCAGATCAGCTGTCCTGGACATGCTCCCTCACGGCTTCTTACGCACCTGCTCACTGGCAGAGACCGGGAAACTGAAAAGTCCTTGACTTAGGGTAAGCACTGCACAGCAACAACTGAAACCATCAGTGTGTTATCAACATGAGAACAATCCCATACTATATCCAAAACACAGCACTGTACCAGCTACTAGGAAGAAAATTAATTCTATTCCAGCTGAAATGAGGATAAATATACAAATATGTATTAGTTGGGTATATTTGACACATTAAAAATGTGGGTTTGGAACAACTGTCCAGCTAAAATGTACTTCACAAAACACAATAGGAATGTTAATTTCCTTGATGAGGTGATTCCTCCTGGTTATCTAGGAGTGAGAAGGATTGCAGTTACGTGCAGCTAGATCTCCTAAACACACAGATGGGAATATGCTGAATTAGCTGAGCAAAGAAAAGAAATCGAAGATTAGGTTGCAATGTATACATAGTACATACATGTGTCTGTTTATACATGTACACATGGATACTACTGTGATAATTCTTTCCCTAAGACAGCAATTAAACTCTGGGTGGTGTTTTTACTTAATTCAATCAACTTCTGTCACAATGTTTACGAAACAACTTGCAGACATCAAACCTAGTCATGCCTTTTAACTTAATTTAGATGGAATTTGAAATCTTATGATGAGATTAAGAATCATTTGCCATATATAGTAGTCCCTGGAGGAGGATGGAGGAGCATCTAGCTCCTTTGGCTGAGGGGAATGAAGACAAGAAGCAAGAAGACAAAACAGTCTAAGTGTTTTGTTTCTGTACTATGATGAGAAAGGACCTCTGAGAGAAGGTTGAAAAAAGGCAGCAAAAGGGGTGGTACAGTTGCAGGACCACACTTTGGGGCAGAAATGCACTCAACCCATTAAGGAGGAGAACACAGAAAGTTGTCAAGGAAGGCTTTAGAGGAACATGTCTGTTTCCCTTGATGAAGTAATGGCAAAATGATCAGTCCTGTAAAGGCTCTGAAGGACTAAGGTGCTTAGGCAGGAGAAACTTGTAGCACTTTTGACTATTCCATTTATAAATTTTATCAATTTTCTGCATAGTGGAAAGGGTAAAGTGTAATTGCCCCAGTAGCAAACCGCAGATGAAAGCATGAGGCTGAAGTTTGGGAGAGCAGCAAGGCCCACAGACTGCAATAACTCAGGTCCAGGAGAAGCAGGAGGAGAAACTCATAGAGACAAAAGTATGGCAACAAGGGATGACCCAGACCCAATAACCACAAGCTTCAGGATTACTTGACATATTACCAGCAAGGGCACAGGGCTAGTGGAGGCTTTGTAAGGCAAGAATGAATAAAAAGATGACTGCAGATGATGACCATAAAACATTGCTCAAGAGAAAACAATATGGTCCTCAGTCTGACTAAAGGACAGAAGCTTAACAAGAATTGCAGACAGGCTGCATTATGGAGGTAATGTTTCACAGGGTAGAGTAATTTCATAAAATTTGAGTGCAGTTGGCACAGAAATGATAAGATGACCAAACCTATTAAAGAAATTAAGTAAAATAAAAGGAGAAAGAATTTGATTCTATCTATGCAGGTACTAATGCCTCAAGCAGGGAGGGATGTTTGGTATTCTATTATAAACATTTACAAAAGAACTTGTGATGTAACTAGGAAGGCAAAAAGTGCAATAGAAAGATGGTCACAACAAATTTCAGAGGGTGTCCATAAAGTTCACAGAATCACAGAATATTCTGAGTTGGAAGGGACCCACAAGGATCATCAAAGTCCAACTCCTGGCCATGCACAGGACAGCCCCAAGAATCACACCACGTGCCTGAGAGTATTCTCCAAACACTTCTTGAACTCTGTCAGGCTTGGTGCTGTGACCGCTTCCCTGGGGATCCTGTTCCAGTGCCCAACCACCTTCTGGATGAAGAACCTCTTTCTAATATCCAACCTAAACCTCCCCTGACACAACTTCAGGCCATTCCCTTGGGTCCTGTCACTGGTCACCACAGAGAAGAGATCAGTGTCTGCCCCTCCTCTTCCCCTTACGAGGAAGTTGTAACTGCAATGAGGTCTCCCCTCAGTCTTCTCTTCTCCAGGCTGAACACACCAAGTGACCTCAGGTGCTCCTCTAGAGGCTTCCCCTCTAGACCCTTCACCATCTTTATAGCCCTCTGTAGGTCTCTAATAGCTTTATATCTTTCTTCTGTTTTGTTGCCCAAAATTGCACACGGTACTCAGGATGAGGCCACAGCAGAGCAGAGCAGGACAGTCTCCTGCCTTGACCAGCTGGCAAGCCAAGGTGTGGAAAAAATCAAGTAAAGATTCTAATCTGTCCTGGTTGAAGTCATTGGCAAATTTTTCATAACAGTCACTGAATATAAGCTTATATTGATCACCATAGTGAGAAATGAGAAGTAAATGCACTTCATCTGCGTTACACAATAGAAAGTCTGAGGGAGCCAAACCAGAATAATGCTTCTGGCATGTTATTCATTGGACATTGCCCATGACTTAAGCCTTGTTTCTTGCAGAGGAAAATAGCTTATGTCACCTTCTGCTATTGTTGTTTGAAAGAAGCTTTTATTCTTTAGAAATATATGGCACTCTAGTATTGCTTGGTGTTTGTGTTTTCTGAAACTGACTTTCGTATTCTGTAAATGGCACACTATTGTTGTGAACATTTCCTTCAGTGTACAAATTTCCTCATGATTTTATCTGCAAAACAAATACAAAAATTAAAACCAGAGCAAGACTTAAGAATTAATCCAAGATTTCAACATCTAGGTTATAGTTTTGAAAGACACAAAAACCTGCTTGACCTAACAAAACCTGTCTGCTTTAGTAACTAGACACTATTATACAACCAGATAATTGCTTGTCCAATTTCAAAATATTTTCCCCTGATATTTGAGCATCATAGTAAGTAATAAACCTTCAAACTTACAAATGGAAACAGCTAGAGACTTTGGGAAGTTCATAACCATGTGTTACTAAGGAGGGGCTGCAGTGTTAGCTGCCAGTTTTCACATCAATGAGTCAGGCCCATCAGAATGTACAGTTTCCTGATGCTAATTGATTTCAGTTGTTTAAGCTCTTTTATTTTGATAGGTACCGCTTTTAAATGGAAAGAATAAGACTTTGGTAGATATTAGTTTGAGAAAGAAAGCTTATGTAGCGCCAGTATAGTTCCTTCTGAGACTGCCTTTAATCCTGCCATTAGCGATAGCTAAATGATATAGAATGTCACTTAAATACACTGCAGAAGAGAAAACCACAACAGTGGTATCCACATGTCTGAACAAATGTTTAAAGTCTTAGAAATCACATAGTTGATGTGTAATATCTAACCTCAGTGGGGACACTAGAATAATAGTCATTTTGGAGAGTTCATAGATGCCAATCAGATAGACATGAATACCACAGAGCAAAGTATGCCAGAAACTGTAGTAGTGAGTGCTGATTCTGGAGCAGGAGATGCTGGTGGTTTCGTGGTGCTGTAAGTAAATGAAGGCTTTTTTCCCCTTTTTTAAATCCAGTCAGATCAGTAAGGTAACCATACCAGTGACTAATACAGGGTTGTTTTCTCCCACCAGAAAACAACATGAGTGCAGTGTGCTGAGCAGGACCTTCTGAGGGCATGAAACACTAAGAGGACATTTCAAGTGCTTTGTAAAACCAGACAATGTCATGTCAGGGCATGACAGAGATACTGAGTATTCAGACATTACCAATGCATGCTTCATAAAGCAACAGGTTAGAAAGTCCACATGAGGAAAAGCAGCCTTTGATTTCATCTTGAGTGGCATGCACACTCTGTTTCAAAATGTTAGTGCCTCAAGTCTCTTTTAGAAGAGCAACCACCAGGTATTGATAGTCAGCAATTATCTATGACCAAAAAAGCTGAAGAGGCAAACACAGCTATAGTCTCCGAAAGGTAGAAATAAATATATATGAGAAAACTTCCTTAAAAAAAAGCAAAAGTACAAAAGTTACATCATTGAGAACATTCTGGGAGCTCTTTAAGGATACTATTTTGGATATGCAGAGCAAACGTGAAAAGCAAGAGTTGCCTAAAGGAAAACAGGATCCTGAATATTCAAAATGTTCAAAAGCTTCAACTGAGATGAAAAACTGAAAAATACTGAAAAATCTGAAGATAATTTTATTTTTACCAAAAATGTACTTTCTTCTGGGGTTAAAAAATATGAATGAAAAATTCTGACCAGCTGCCTTCAACTAAAGAGCATATAGTGAGTGCCACATACCTTTCTTTAAGTGTGAAAGATTTCTGTTTCTCTCATTTCATAGTCCACAGTCATTCATGCCATGCCCTTGTGTTGCAGGGCACACCATCCTTTTTTTTTTTATAAAGCTGGATTGTTTCACCAATAAGGTTTTACTGCAGTCCCACAACCAATTTTATCTTCACGAGGTATGATGGAATAAGAATGAACAGACAGATTAGGGAAAAGGGGAGATTTTGCAAAATTTCCTTCCAAAGGGTCACTTAGTTAAAAAAGAAGTAAATTTACCAAAGTTCCTACTTGGAACACCGCACTAGCTGATGGAATTATTAGTGTCTGCTTGCCTGCTTTCAGCTTCTAGTTTTAAAATAAGGCAGCAGAGCTTAAGAAACAAGGAGAAGATAAATATGTTGGCCACATATTTAAGTATCACCACTACAGCATTAAATGGGCTCTGTACGTGTAACATGTTAATGTATCTATGCATCCAGCTGGGTTATGAAATTAAGGTTAAAGAAAGGGAGAACAGGCAAAAGAAATGCATTGGTAAGTAAGCAGTACTAAGGATTCATCGCATAATTTTTCCACACAATTGTTTATCTTGACTCTGAGCTGAGCCAAGCATTATAAGTGAACCCTGAAAGTGTATACCGAAGTAAATATATTCTTTTAGAGTTTAATTTTGTAATTAGATTTTGAGATTGCACATTTTCCATTTCAGTACTTTAGAGAGCTCTGTAAAAGCTCATCACAAATATATTTTGCCATTCACTAGAAATATGTTTTAAAATCTCTTTTTTCCTCACCAATTTCCTTACAGAAATAAACACTGGTGGAGCAGCACCACTTGCAGAAGTCTGCAGGAGTGATGCAGTTTATGGACCTTAATGATGAGTTAGAATGAGGGATTCAAGTTTCAGATGAATGCATTTCAGTAAAAGTGTCACTCAGCCCTTCATTCCTGATTTCTTACTTCTCCACCTTTATAAATCTTGTACACCAGTACTGTGGTTTGTTATCAAACACACTTCCTTGTTGGATGAGATAATCAGTTAGGTAGTGCCATTACTCAGGATGATAATGGAAACCATTTATGCATGGTTTCATGCCTATATCTGCAATGATTTTTTTGACCTTGAATTTCATAGCCATTTTAATACTGCAAGAGTGTTAGAAAGGCACAGTGCATAGGAGAAGGTAGCCTCAGAGATTCCCAAAATGTCTTCTGATTTATGGATGGAACATGGAGTCTTTGAATAATTTGTCAAAAATTTATTATTATTTTTTATTGTTTTCCTTTTTTACTTATTTTTCTCCTTGAGATCATCATTCCAAACCCATTCAAATATCCGTCACCCTTTTCCTGTTAGTTTTTTTTTGCTCCTATTTCTGTCAAGTTCAAAGGCCTTTGAATCAAACACAGAGAAAAACAGGTACTTCCTTAACTCTACAGTGGTAGGTAAAGAGAAGTTCAAATTAGAAATATCAGAATAGAGAAAATGAAATATTTGCCTTTTGCATTAGCTTTATGCTGCTGCTAGAAACAACAAATCTCCAAGCTTGCACTTAGCAAAATTATACCTTATCTTGTTGTATGGTAACCAAACTACTTCAGAAAATTAATTTAGAAATTTCAATGTAGTTTATCAAACAGATAAAGTCTTTACCACTGATGTTCAGCTCCCTAGCTTGCCTTGCAAATCTGGAGTAGTGCTTTGCTCCAAGTAAATGTCAAATGATTTAATTAGAAAAGTGTTTTTTGTAGTAAACCATTTTTACTGCTGGTAGATAAAGCCATGAACATAAGTCTAGTTCTAGTTATTTTGTTGTTTTGTTGGTAGTTTTCCTTCTTTTTTTTTCTTTTTTTTAAATTTGATTAACTAGGGCATCATAGCCAGTCTCTGGAAAGATTCACTTAGGATCATAGAATCGTAGAGCATATCCATATAACCAGTTAGAAGGCCCCCATAAGTATCATGGAGTCCAACTCCCTGTTTCTTGCAGAATGACCAAAACCAAAATCATATGAATATGACCATCATCCAGATGCGCTTTGAACTCTGACAGTCTTGGTGCTGTGACCACTCCCCATGAGAGTGATCTGACCACCCTCTCAGTGAAGAACCTTCTCCTTATGTCAAATCTGAACTTCTCCTGATGCAGGTTCATTCCATTTTCCTGAGTCCTATTGCTGGTCACCAGAGAAAGGAGATCAGCACCTCCCCCTCCACTGCCCCTCCACTGCCTCCCTCGAGGAAGTTGTTGGCTTCTCTCCACCAGGCTGAACAAGCAAAGACCTCAGGTTCTTGCCCTTAAGGCCCTTCACCATCTTGATTGGTCTCCTGTGAACACACACTAATGATTTGTTGTCCCACTCATATTGTGGTACTCAAAACTGCACACAACACTAGAGGTGAGGCCGCACCAGTGCAGAGCAGAGCAGGACAATCCCCTCCCTTGACCGGCTGGCGATGCTTTGCCTGATGCCCCCCAGTTGGCCCTCCTGGCTGCCAGGGCACTGCTGACTCATGTTCAACTTTCAACTCCCAGATCTCCCTCTGCAAGGCTCCCTCCAGCTTCTTGTTCCACATTGTATGTATAACCAGGATTACACTGTGCCAGATGGAGAATCAAGCAACTGCTCCGTTAAACTAATTGTAGTTGGTGGTTGCCCAGATCTCAAGTCTATCAAGATCTCCCTGCCCCCTACTCTCAAAGCCTTAAAGAATACTTAAATATCCTTAAAGAATACTAATTACAAATTTTTTTTCTACAAGAAAGCGAGCAAGCAGTATCTACAGAAGATAGTATGTGTTGTCTGCTTCTCTAGTTCTCAGTCCAATAACAGATGTTTAGGACTCCAGATCTTCTAAAACTACATTTTCACTTGATTCTTTAATAATAATGAGAATTCCAAAGAGGCCAGAAACAATGGCACTTGCACACTATCAGAGAAGCATAAAGAAAAATTGCTACAAAATAGTTTCCAATCTGTGTTTCATCAAAATGTAAGAAATGGAAGAGCCAACGCAGTTCATATATTGGCTTAGAAAGGTTTTAAGTATTGCTGTGTACAGTTTAGAGGGATTCAGTCAAGACACTGGATTCATTTTGCCATATTTTATATCTTGCGATTTCTGCAGGCGGTAGTACAAACACTATGTCGTCATGAGAAACTTCCTTTCTCATGTGAAAGTTCAAAGTAACTGAACTAATGTGAGTAAAATAAAGTCTGTTCCAGATCTTTAGTTTAACTCAAACCTTTCAAACTTTAAGTCTAGCTAGCTGTTAAGGTAAAAAAGGAAGTTTGGAAAAATTAAGACCACATGAAGGATACTCTAATGATATTCTTACAGAATTTAAGCCCAATTTGAAATAAAGTACTGAAAATAAGCATATCTATCACCATGTCTCTCTGGTTAATTTAAGAGCTCATGATGAAGAAATCTCTTTATTCATGAGATTGACCGCCAGACTCTTCAGGAAAGCCCCTGTAGGACCACAGTAAGCTCTGCCAAAATGAATGGAGCCTCTGGAATTGAGATTTATTCTGTGTTAATGATTGAGTCAGATGACTTGGGGTATGGTGTAAAAAGGATATTCACTCACTAAGTGTTAATTTTCCAGAAAATACAATAAGAAGGTGTAGGGAAATATGAAATGGATGATTCATGCTTTTGAGATGTGCATCTCTCATTTCTGATACAAGTGACTGGTTCCTCTGAATTGCTCCCAGCAGCTTACACCATTCTCTTTTATGCAGGTAAGAGATTTCTGTGAAAGAGCTGCTACAGTTATCAATGCTACAATTACTAAAATAAACAGTCATGTAAGAACAACAGCATAATTATCTTCCAAATTGTCTTAGAAAAGTTACTGATCAAACGAAATTTTATTGTAGCTTCAAGCCAGCACAAAACTCACACTGGAATTACCTACCATGATTTTATTTCTGAGCTATAAATATACATACCAAATGAAAACACACTGGAAAAGACATTAAGCGACAATATTTTTGTTGCTGGCTGAAATTAACATCCTCTTTTTACTTCTTAAAAGTCATTAGAATAAGATATGTGTTTCAGAACCTTGAATAAACATCAAAGGTTGGTTTTTTTCTTCTGAAAGAAGAGAATGATCTGCTACTTACATAGCATCCAGATTTGTCCCATTAAAAGCATGGCCTTGAATACTGGTAAAACCGTTATTGTAGAGTTTGCTGCAAGGAAAAAAAAATATTAAATTAGTCTATTTTGGGTTGCTTCAATACCTGAATACCTAACATCTTATGTATCATCTTTTTTGGCAACAGCTCATTTATGGATGGGTTAATTTTAATCTCTTGAAGAAGAAGTAGTTACAGTGCAAGGTCAAACCAAATGCCCAGAAGTATTCTTGAATGTACCTGATTCAAGGATACCATGTGGCAGGTGTGCCATGTTTTACCTCTTTTTACAGCAATGATAGAATGAGACTAAACCACTGTGCTATAACTTTCCCACCATCAAACTAAAAGCAAGGAAACAAAATCCTTGTATGATTGATTAAGGAAGGCTAAAGGAACTAACAACTATCAAAACAGGTCTGATTTTACTATCAGGTGTGCCTGAATTTTTAGAGTGCATTCTTTTTCTCCCTTAGAGCAAAATGGGATTTTTTTTAGAATTTCTTTAGAAGTCATTAATTTGCGTTCTAGTGCTCTTCCCCCCCCCAGTTCAGGTCATAACTCGTTACAGTAATTTTCGCTCCCTTTCTTGTGGCTCACATTGACTATGACTTGCATAATTGAACTTTATTTAACAATTTTCTTTCAAATATGACTCTTCTAATGTTTGCCATCCATTAGTTTTCATGGTATGAGTTATTTAGGTTGCAAAAAGAGTTAGGCACATTTCTAACCATGCTGTAGCTTTACAGGGGGAAAACTTTGCAAACATTTTCATTTGATTTTCTCCAATATAATAATTCACTGGCATTAGGGTCATACAAAACCAAAACCACTTTAATCAAGACAGTTTAAAGAAAAGCAGCAGGACTGGTTCAAATAGCTGTCAAAGTACAGGATTTATGCAAACTAAATTATGGATACTGCCTGTCTATAGTGTTTCTCTGTTACAAACTACCAAAGAATAGGACAGGGATAATTTTTTTAAACATTTTACTATATGCATTACCAGAGAGGTCATTGCCTTGTGACTTAAACTGGAAGAACTTACAGGGTTAGAGATTCGTTACAAAGCCCATGGAAAGCATTTGCAGGCACTGAAGTCATATAAGGATTATCTGCAATTTCACTGCAAAAGGAGACAAAATATCACAATGAAACATCTGCCCAACAGAGCTTCTCCAGAACATCTTTGTTATTAATTTTTCTCTGCCTTGATAATAAATGAAAGTTTAAAATAAAACTTCATTTATTTAAATAAATAAATTTATTCTATATATATTATTATATAATTAATAATATTAAAATTAATAAAAATAATGTTTATTATCTATCATAAATTTAAATTTACTTAAATAAACATTTATTTATTTAAAAATAAATAAAATTTTTAAAGAATAACCTCTTTAGTTATATCTAAGGCCAGAGTATACATGTGGGATGAAGAATTGAGCATGTTCCAGCATCCAGGAAGAGAGTTTGTGAGGTGGATGGGTTTTGTAGTCCTGGTGAGGTGTACCAGCCTGTGTGATTATAGTGGCTAATGGCACAGACAGGTCCCTGGTCTCATAAGCCAGAGAATTAGCAGACTGAATAATGCTGCAGTGTGAATTGAACAACTCAAATGGCTTTAGAGCTGAAATCCTGCTCTCTAAGGTCAGATAAGACATCAGATAATACATTATTCAGGACAGAGGCATTGCACTTTAAAGAACTGCATCTAGCACAAGTGAAATAACTTACTATGGGATCTAATCTAATGATTCTTCTCTTGTCCAAATGACTATTTCATTATCTGTCGTTTCTTAAATACTTTTTTACTCCTACTCTGCATTCTTAACAAATACTATGTATTTTCAGGCCGAAACTCTGTTGATAACAAACAATAGAAAGAAGAACTGAAGAGATTTACTACGACTAAACTGGAAAAAGGAGAGAGGAAAAAGCTGGTAGAAACAAAGGGCAGAGCAAAGTGTCTTATTGTCCTTCTTCTGATTTTCCTGAATCATGTTGTAGTCTGGAAACCAAAATATTTTGCAAATTTTTCTTTTCTTCAGCTTGTGGATTAGATATGGTCTTATAAGGCCAATCCCTAAGGTCCATAGGCTGAGAAGTCCTAACAATTGCCTGTGTGCCAGGAACAATTTTATTTCTTTTCTGTGCTATATATCTGCATACATGTATGCTAACGCTGAGCAGTACTACAGCCATTTTAATTCCAAGTAATTTTCACTGATAGGTGGTTTTCGCCAGAAGTTATATTGATTTGATGTTTTTCGGATTGGTTCACTTTTCTAAATAAATGTTTACTTGTAAGTTGCTTGACCTCAAAGACAAACAGTAATATAATGAATGCTTTTTCTCCCACTATACCTTATTCATTATTTAGAGACTTATTATTTTTCAAGAGCTTTTTTTTCTTGATTAAAGAAACAAAAAGGCTACCTTTCTTTGAATAGCAATGTTTAGAAATATACAACATAGAAGTATCTCCCTTGAAAGTACAGCTCTACTCTTTAAAAAGTCTGTAGCATATAAGACCTATATTTATCTTTTATTAGTGATCTCTATAAAAAAAAATTCAAGGTAGAAGTACAATAATGTTTTGCTTTCTGCCACTTAGAAAGGCACTGAGTTGGTTGGAAGTAAGAACACAGATGGTTGTATAAACTGCTTCTGTTTCATCTAGCCTATTAAATTCTTGATTCTCTCTACTTTGGAAGTGTAGTATGTAATTTACAATCTAGTAGAGCTTAATCTAAGCTAAAGCCCTTTTGGTCTTGAGAAACTCCCTAATAGTTCTCAAGATATAGGTGTATCTCAGAGTTCTGAATCTTGGGGGCCTACAGCCAAGGTGAGCATAACAGCTACAGGTTATGGAGTGTGAGTTAGAACAAGGCCTACCTCTAGTTTTGGAAGATCCTTGGGAGGGAAGATCTCATTGCTTACTAGAGGTCTAGACTTTTTAGCAGAACAAGCAGCATTTCTACATTGCTCTCAGGTTCATCTTGCCAATGGCAGAATGGTGAATGCAGTGGGAACTGACCATTCTTGACCAAGAACGCCCCTTGGGAGCACTGAAACAATACCTGGGATAGATCATCCATTATGTCTTTGCAAGTCACCTTCTCGCATAATACTGCTTATTTTTAATAGCCTTTTGTCTAGCACATACAGCATTCAAGCCTCTTCCATCTGAAAACTGCTACAATACAAGATTTCTAACTCTTCTCTAGGACCAAGAAGTGACCAAGACACTTTTATCTTGTGTCAGCCTGCAAGTCTTCATCTGAGATGCTCTTCTTCCTTGTCTTGATTACGACCCAGAATTTGAACCTAAATTGCAGATTAGTGCACAAAGATGGATGTTGTCTTTGCTTTTTGAATACCAAGAAACACCTGCTTTTTTTTTAGAGTTCAAAGCAGAACTCTTCATTTCTGAAACACCTTTAAGTATAACAGTAGGAGACCTCCTTTTCCCCATTTGTATTCCTATTCTCTTTCTTAAAGAAATTGTTCTGCAATTTGCTTCACCATGCCGGCACAAATTTTTTGGAAGAATGTTGATAGCATAACAACTTCATGTTAGCAGGATGTATGCTAGCTCAGGTCCTGTGTGTCACATTGTTCTGACTTCACATTAATTCAGGAATTGCACTGCCATTACAAAACCAAAACCAAAATAAAAGCAAAAGGCCTGTAGAAGTTGTGTATCATGAATGTTCTTGTGTGTCCATGTCTCTAATCCAGATCAAATGTATTGTGCTAGGTGACCTGGCATTTCCCACATTTGGTACTAATGACCGTTTAAATAAAGCTTGAGGAAAACTTCTTTATCAGACTTATTTGATATTTTTCTTAAAATCAGAATCCTTCATTGTAGGTTTCTTGGGATCTGAGGATGGCAGTTATTCTAACCAGCTGTGAGGACGGATACTTACAGTAAAAAATTCACATCAAATGAGTAGATTTTTTTGAGGTCTGGAAATACTTTGAGTCCAGTATTGAAAATACCACTAAAAGAAAGGAGAAACAGAAAAAATTACATGTACTGGATCACTGAACAACAACAAAAAATGTATTTAAAGTGTTTGACAATGTGGGATGGTTATTTCATCCTCTCTATTGTCAATTGATTAATTTATAATCAACTGTCCAAAATAAAAGAATGCAAGAACAATTGAAAAAATTCAAAATAACAGATTTATGATAAATTATAGAATCTAAAAAATGGGAACACAGACTAATAAGACAGCTAAGCAGATCTGCAGAGGGAAGTAGCTTGTGAGGTTTCACTTGAGAGTTTAAGGCTGCTTCTGCTAATAGTCTGGACCCCCAAATCCTCTATCTTTCATTGTGGTTAAGAGCTGATCATATAGCTCTAAAAAGGGAAACTGTCTTAAAATGTGAATATGCTTAATGCTCCTTCTTTCTCAACTCCTGTATAGTGGAAATAACTTAAGAAAGTATAGTTCTCTATCTTTAAAACTATTTTCCTGAAATGAAATTTTTTTACTACTTTCTTTTTTTGTTGCTTTCATATCTATAGGAGAAACCTGGAAAAATCTTTCCTCCTTGCCCCAGCCCCCACCAGACGCAGAGAGAACCCTTCCTAGTGTCTTCCAAACATTACTCAAAATCAGAGAAGTTTCTTTAGAGATTCATGGGAATTTTTCACAATTTCTTTCTGCCTTAGATGTTGTATGAAATCAGGTGTATATAGGTGGGCTTTTCACATTTGACTGACAGGTTTGCTTTAAAATCCTGTGTAAATATCTAACAAAAAGATAAGTATATATCTGTTGTGTCCCTTCTTCCCACTATTCCCTACAAAAATAGAGAATGACAGCACTTATCATAAGAAGAAACTAGCTGTGGAATTTTGCCAAGGAACATTATTGTGTTCTAGATATTTAATCAATAAGACAAATGGGAAAATTACTGATGAATTTTTGAATGTTTTCCTTTCTTACAAAAGTAGTAAAAATTCCAACCCATACCTTATCTGGCTTTCTGTCATTAAAATAAAGCAACAGGGAAAAACATGGCAATCAGTTCCGAAATGAAATGTAAAGAAACAAAACTGCTATAATGTAAGGAGTCATCTGTGAGATTTAAGTGCCAACTTGTTACAGGTGCTAAATACTTACAGGTATTTCAAAACTGGGAGGTTCTTAAACGCATCTGGATCTATGTAATCCAAGTTTCTAAGATTTCGAATTTCACTGTAAAAAAGAGAGGAACATTAATAATTAATATTTAATTACTTATCCCAACAGAAATCAGAAATGTTAAAATGAATTTTCAGGGACTTAACTCATGCAACAAGCTTTTTGTACTAGCCAGTGCTAGCCCAAGACCACTATGCATTCTGAACAATCTTACAGTGATGCATTATCATCTGGATAGATGCCATCCTGGAGACTGGCTACTTGAAGCAAGGGGGTAAGAAGCACCTGAGATTTGATTATGGATCTTTTGTCTACATGGTCCTAAAATCAAAACAAGTACCCTGTGTTAATGGCTATTACTTTGAACATGGTGAGTGTTTTGTGACTGCAAAGTTGAGTAAAAAGAAAAGTTAAGTAAAACTTTCAGTATTTATATATAATAATCCTATCAAATTACAATGACCTGTATAGCTTATAATTTTATGTTCTATTTTTCTGGTTACTTTCTTCATGTGTCTAACAGTATTTTGTATTATATTTCCTGTTTCTTCTTCAGAACTCATCAAAAGATGGCTCAGGTCACTTAAATTAACTTTGTTCTGAGACTTGAAATGCACACACTATTCACTGTATAGCCATGTCCAGCAGTTTAGAGGATAGTGTACCTCTGCTGTATAATGACACAAAACATAACATGGGCTTCATTCCTTACACCTTCTGCCCATGGTTATGTCTTTAAATACTTCTACCCAGGCAACAGCTTCGTGTACAAGTAGCTTTTTAGTCTGCACATGTTAAAAAACCAGTCTGACACTAATCACAGCTATGGCCACGATGGGTGCTTTCTGTAGGTGTTTAGATGGGGCTGCTGCCCCTCCAGCTATCATGGTCATTGCCTGGAGTCATGACTCTTCCCCGTTTCTCTGAAATGTTTGTCTCTTCCCTTAATGTAATTTCCCTCAATCTTTCTAATTCCTCTGTTTTCTAGTGGATTTCTTTCTTTTCTATGCCCAATGGCGGTTAGCAGTCTGCCTGCACCAATCAGACTGTGCCAAAATTCCCTGTCTAGACTCAGTAGAGCTACTGAATTTTCATCTTTTATTAAAAAAGTCACACATACCCTCACCCATCGCATGCAGACTTTTAATTTCCTGGTCTCTTTACTGTCTCCAGAAGAATATAGACATTTATGCATATTTTTTCTTTATCTTAAACCAGCTCTGGACGCTGGTCTCATAACACTGCTGGAACAACACTCAGCCTTTTTTAATTTAGAAACCATACAGAAAGAATGGTGCCAGTCTTCTTCCTGATGCTAGCAGTGGAGCAATAGGCTAAAGAAAGCACTTTGGCCTACATATATATAGAAATTTGATGAAGATGACAGGTAAAGATGGCATAGTGGTGCAGGTGATGTGGATGATGTTCTGGTCTTAAGTCAGTCCAAGAAGTGCTACCACTGGACAGAAACTCAGTAGGCAGAAACCAGTAGTATTTAATTTGCCATGGCCTAACAGTGCCAAGTAATCTACACAATATAAGAATCAGAAAATCAGAGTTTAAGGCTAACTGCCACTGGAATTATTTTTACAGGATAAAATCAACCCAGACAAGTTGTCTAAGAAATCAAAGTGGGAAAAGAGACAGAAGACAGTAGGTAAAATAGTATGTAGATACCAGTACGAAGACTTCAACCTCTCTATATACTGTTGTATTGACAAAACAGTCCTGCTCCACCTTCAAGTCTTCAGTTTTTATTCTGTTTACTACAACACTGCAGGGAAATGAGGATTTACCTTTTACTTGCGTGTTAAACTGATATCATTAATAGCTATAGTACTGCTACTATAGTGCTGCATTCAAATATTCATGTCTGTTAGCTACCTTGAACTGTAGATGTGTTTCTGTATTTAAAATAAATCCTCTCAGTGTCAGTTCTTGCCTCTTTCAAATTATTTTATTAGTTATGTAGCTATCACACTACCAGCAGTGGAACTTGCTCCATAAACTTAAACTGACATGTTTTTTCCATCACTGACTGCCTTCAAAATGTTGGACTCATGAGCTTCCAGGCTGCTCTGTTGTGGACCAAACATATTCCAGGGAAAAGACAGTCTTTAGATCAGCCTTCAGCCTGGAAGTGGATAATGCATTGGAGTATCACAGAGTCATGAGGTTTTGGTTTGTTGCTATTCATACTATTCTGCATAAATTATTCGGATGAGAGTACTGGAAGTAAGAATTCGAAATCTGCAGATGGTACTAAAATTGAAAGAGCAAAATAATGTAATGAGATACAGGTTTGGTTTATTAAATAACTGGGCCATGAGAGGACGTGCTGTTTAAAAAAGGCAAATGAAAACCTAATTAATCTGGGAATAAAATATTTTAAACTGCCAGATGAGACAGCACAGAGAGAAAAGCTTAAACCATGTGAGCAAGGGAATCAATATGATTCAACTGAACACTGGGGAAAGGTTTATGTCCCTGCTGTTCAATTTAGTTGAATTGGTAATGCTAGGATTAGAAAAGAAGTATGCTTTAATATATACTCTTTTTATAGTTGCATTTCATCCTATACTTTGTAAAGCTCAAAAGGAAGAAAAGGGCCCATTGTGGAGCAGATAGACAGTTGTGTAGAAGTCTCCAGTCAAAATAAATGAGAGAGAGGATAAGAGAGATATAAAAAGGTAAAAGGTGATTTGACAAAAGTGAATGTTATGGTTAAGGAAAAAAAATGAAGAGGAAAATCCAATTTTCCCTACTTCTAGTCCAGTCAAATGTGCCTCCTGCATTTAACTGGCCTGAATTTGTAGTCTCTCATCTCATCTGCATGAAAAAGAGAAAGATCTTCAGTTCCATTCATAAACTGTACTTCTGTCCTTGTATTAAACATTTAAACATTGTTACTCTTAGAGTACTGGAAGAAATTCCCCCGTAAAATCACAGATTTAAAGGATATCTAGTGCTCCACTGATAAAGGAGCCTATGAAGTTAAGCTGATAAGGAGGAAAGAGATTTGAATTGTTCTGAGCTCATCAGTTAACAGGATACTGATACACAAACTGAATTTCACAATTTCTTTTACAATAGTCCATCATGAGTAATATACTCAAAGGTGCATAAATGTTATGTGATACTATTTTTCAAATTGTAATCAAAAGACTCCTGTGGTGTAAAGATTAATCCCAAAGGATCCATAAAGCTAAGAAGAGCAAGTTGATTATCAGTAAATTCGTTAAGCAGGGTTTGCACTATCATTTAGCTTTTATGGATTGGTGAGTTGAAAAGATTGAAACTCACTAAATTAAAAAGTTAAGGTTCTTTGAAAAGCAGCTCTAGAAAAACTATTAATAGACTTAGCTGCCTAAAATGCAGATAAAGCCAAAGAGTATACTTAAAAATGTCTAGTAAGCTAGTTCCCAGATATCTAAGTGTCTATGAGAACTGATTTTAAATGACTTTTGAAATGCAACTTTGACACACTCTACAAACACATCTTAATCATAGCATACAGCAATGTAACAATTCTGAGTCCTTCTGGGAATTAAGTGCTTTTAAGATATTAAAAAAATCTGAGACAGTTAGTAGGCATCTTTGTTCACCATTGACGCAAGAAGGCAAAAGGTGCCCTGAACAAACATTGGACTTTGCAGTCCTAACCAAAATTACTTACAGATGCTCATAAGAAAGAAAGAGGCTGCTACCTACCCACAGGATAACAGAATTATTGTGGAATACTTACAAAATTTTTCAAAGTTACTTTACAAACTACTCAACTTCTGCTCTATTTTTAGAAGTGCATAAACCATTTAAAACTGGCTTATTTGTCCTTTAAAGACAATTGATGTTTTACAGTTGATGTTCTGGCATTCAGACTAGGAATTAAAAATGTACTAAGTTCACAATCAAACCACCACGTGACTGTCCATGAACAGCATCTCAGTTTTGCTTTTTAAAGAAAATACACAAAAAACTTTATCATGTCAAGAACAGATATGCAGAGAAAGTCACTTAATGATATAAAGACATATGTCAAGACTTACAAATAATTATGGACTGATGTTCAGTTACAGAGATATAACTATTTAGTTCCAAATCCAGAAGAATCTAAAAATGAAACTAATAATAACTATTCAAATATTAGTCTAATTAATTAATTGAGACATATGTTTTCCAGGTAACTTCTAGAAATATTAATATGCTACTTAACATTCTATATGAATTTAGTAACATTAAAAAAAGCACAAATATTTATATATTTAAGTGGATTCCAAGTTTCGTTTACCAGATCTGTTTTTCATATCTGCCTTGCAATATCGACTCATCCTTGAGTTTGTTTAAGCCCAGTATTCAGAAATTACAAATCTGGCCATCATGGCTAGGCTTCACGAACGAAGATTTGGTAAGGACTCTACCTACATTTGCTACAAGTGCACTGGTGGCTAAAGAGGCCAATGCGAGATAGACAAGACCGGTTGCAAAAGGCACAGCAGAAAGGCTCCTTGGATGGTAAAATCTGGCCATAGAGTAGCAATATAATCATGTTATGCTGAGATACCTAGAAAGACTAAGGATATCCAGGTCAGAAATTCTGAAGTGTTTTAAATAAGCTCTTTTCTTCTCTCTTGTAATAACTTGGGGCCCCTCTCTACCATCTTAGACTTATTTTGCCTATAGCTTCCTTGGCTTCTCTCACTTCTACATCTACTTCCAGGTTTTATTCTCCCCCTACAGACAAACTATTTATGTTATTTCATCTGCATGCACCTGTCCAGCCTTTGCACCACTGGCACCAGAAAACGGGCTTAGGCTATTCCAACAGTCTATTCCCTCCCTCCAGACTGCAGATTTAAACAAGATTTTTCTGCACAGCACTTATCCCTGTGCCCTGAAATTCACTCCAGGTATACAGCAGTCCCCCACAAACCTCTTCACTCTTCCTCTCCAATTGCTTGTTATATATTTATTATCACTCTTTCTTTCTGCAGTGCTGTATCCCACGGCCTGGCATCACAAGCTGTCCAAGGGAAGTGCAATCCCAGCCCAGAGGATGGTGAGGCTGCCCTGGCTCTTGGCTCCATCTCACTGCAGCTCATTGCAGAGCTGGAGAGTGGTCCCCCACCAGCTCTCCAAATGACGTCATATACGTGAGGGCAAGCCACTTGAACCATAACCTTTGTGCCTCTTCCCAAATGCTGAGAGAGCTTTTTATGTTGTTGTATAAGAGGAGAATACTTTTCAAGTGAGGATAAGAGAGTAGGGAGAGATCAGAGGAGAGTGAGCAGAGATACAGAGAAGAGAGGAAAAGAAAGAGTGAATTTTTCTGGAGTTCCTTTCACAGGAATGTTTCCCTGAGAAATAAAGACCTAATTACAAAACGTTTTTATTTAGTGTGATGCTATCAAGCTGCAGCTCTACTAGTAAAACAGCCACACAGAAATACTGACTGCTAATCAGACACTTTCCCAATTTCATCTAGAAAAAATAAATACTTATGTAATTGTATGGGAAAGACAGTTCTGAATTTGTAAGCAGGTTAAGTTTGACTTACAGACATACTTAAGAAACAAGAAACCATTGTGAGACCAATTTAACACAGTTGGGGAAAAAAAACAAAACCTCAAAATCTTATCCCTTATTTACATCTTCATAGTGTGGGACTTTTACCATTATTTACAACTGAAATAAGATCTGGCTCATTAAAATACAGCATGTGATCAGTATCCTTAGTTTGCAGAAGTTGCTCAGTACTTGAAAGGCATAGATTCATAAAAATATGACCTATACTTAAAGAGAGCTGAAGTCTGGAAGGAAAAGAAAATCAGGTCAGGGGCACATGAACCAAATAAGGACCAAGAAAATGAATTGCTGAAGATCCAGGCAGAAGCACACTACTAAGCTTGGCAAACAGGGATCATGACGAACACAGGTTGCCTATTCACATAACACTTGACTCAAGCCAAAGCAATTAGTTCCTCCCTTCCACAAACACTAAATTTTCTCCTCAGAAGTTCTTATATTTAAAAACAAATCTTTTTAAAATGAAACCCTGTATATAAGTTTAAATTAGGGTAAAAAGATTATTTTTATTTACGTAAAATTGCACTTTAGGAAAGTTCAATGAAAAGCAAGCTGTAAAAATGGAACTCTGTGAAATGACTTTTCAAAACTGTTAGGGTAACCTCAATCTCCTTTAAAATACCTTGATATCTTAACTGAGTATTATTTCAGCAATAATACTTTGAAAATACTATGTCAATGGAGAACATTAATCAAATGCATAGCACAACATATAAATTTAGCCCCATATAGTTCTGTTGTTTGGAAAGTAAATCAAATCCAACAGTGATAAGTGTTAACAAATCAGGAGTTATGGAAGCAATTCATAAAAATGATCATATTTATAAATTGTTTTCTATCACATCTTATATGCAACCATGTAAGTTACCAGATGCCTGGATATTCCCTGATTAAATGATAAATGTTTTCCAAACATATTTTAAAAACCGGGTAAGCACTTTTGAGTGATAGAGCCCTTCTTTGTAGGCTATCTGCAAATGCTGGGGGTTTGCCTATGACTTTTGTGAATTCTGATGTTTTGCCCTGGGTAGTATTTTTGACTCTTGTGCAGAAGAAAAAGTAAAATTTATATCTTGTGTGTCTGTGTACAGTTGCTTTTTCAGTAGTGCCTTGTGAGATATATAAGGGGTGCACATTACTATATCCCTTGTTATAGCAGATCAGGAAGCATTCTCACCATGTCCTTCCCACAGCCTGTGCTGTAGGTGATATGAGTGTAGGTGCCCATGAACTCTGCTGACTCCTGCCCAGGCCTGCATCTTCCCAGTCATGGACAGCACATCCAGGCCTGGGGTCTGGCAGGGTGTGGTAATGCAGTGATTTTGGAACCTTCTGGTGTGCCCTCCCTTCACGGGAGCCATGGCAGAGGCCTGCTTATGGCAAGGGGCACTGCCTGTCCTCCCAGGCAAGAATCTAAACATCCTTTGGAGGCGGTTAGAGAATGGAAGAGGATGAGAGAAAAGGCTTCTATTCATATTCCTCATCACCCTTTAGGTGGCAGAAATTAGTGCAAATTAGGCAGTGTTATAGAACATATCACAAGAACGAGTAGCCTGGGAGGCACTGGCAACACCAGAGCTCCATCCACCACTCTGTCAAACTGGTCACACATTAAAAAGTGTGCATTTTGTGGAAGAGTTCTTTATATTCAAAGGCTTACATTATATTACTCTTTGAAGGAGATTAATTTTGTGTTATGAATTCGGTCTCCACTTGGACTCTAATACAGAAACAATAGAAAACAGCTATCTAGCCAGCTCTCCTTTTTCCTTAATCTGTCCTCAAGAAGCCTTTGCATCCATATAAAAAGAACAAGCTACTACACTGCATATTGCATGGAAGAATCCTACAATGAAATGCAATGGCCCAAGAGCATTTTATCTTTAACTTCTAGTAAAGTGAACTACAAAAGAAGTACCACATGAGGAATTTGTAGCGCATAGTGGCAAATGCTTTATTCATCGCTGATAAAATGTGCTGCCAGTAAATGTTTCATTAAATGTTCATTTGTATTAAACAAGAAATTCTAAAGACACAACAACTGTGAAAGAGAACATGAACACAACAGATCTGGAAAAAAGAGCTAAAGAAGAAGGAATGGTATTACAACCAAAGAAAAGTACTGATATTACACCAAAGTCTTCCTGTGAAACTCTTTCAGGAATACTACTGGAGCATGTCATTGGACTGAACTAGGTCTCAGAATCCTGCACTGTGCTTCTAGCTGTGTCTGTCACCTTCTTAGAGGACTCACTTACACTTTCCAGCATTAGTTTCTATCTTCAGTAACAGTAATGATATTTTCTCCTGTAACTTTATTAGTCTTTCTTTTTCACACTGTGTAAAGTAAAAGGAAAAAAAATCATAGAAAACAGAGCAGTATTAAGTTGATCATTTAATTCAATTTCTTTCTCTGAGTGAAGATTAAATACATTTATGAAGTTTCTGATCACACAGCCTTAAAGGCCTGCAGTGATAGGGAAAACAATTCTAGTGTTTACTTATGCCAGCCATACTAAAACACTTCCTAAAGTCTAACATGAATTTCATATAATCTAATTTAACCTTATTATTACTTTTTCTTTGTCAAACATCAGTGTGGAAAATGGGTGGTAGGTTTCACCCCTTGCAACAATATATCTGCCTCTGACATGTTTTCTTTCTGGACAGAAGCCTTTCCTCTCTGACAATGTTTTCAGGATCCATGATGACCAACAGTGCTCTCCCATGGAACCTCTGCAAACGAAGATCTTCTCTGAAGTATGACAAACTGTAGCTCATCCTGATGAGCTTTACAACAGTGGCATACTTTCCATTCCCTCCTCTGGATCAATTATGGAAACATGGAAGAGTACCAGATACAGGATGGATCCTATGAAGCTCTCTATTCAATACATTATGTTCTCATTTTAACAGGGTCCTGATGAATGACAGGAACTCTCTGGATGCAGGTATCCTACCATTTCTGTAACTATCCTAGTGCATCATTTGGTGAGGACCATCAGAACAAAAAGGTATAAAAACACTTCTTAGAAGCCATTTTCCATATTATTCCTGTTCCATATAATAACAATATAAACACTCTTCATTATACTAGTGCATTTTCAGAATGATAACTTATTATTTTTCACGTCTCCAGCTAGTGCCATTTTGCTCTGTGTTTTGGCCCTTCTGATTTTATTTCTGGTGCTTATATTACCGTTTTACACTTACCAGCAGTAATTTGACAGAAGTGATTCTTAACTGCCATTTTATTTCAACTTGCCATCAATCTCGTGATGTAGCCCCACATATTTTTCACTATACTTACCTACATTTCTATGGGAGGATACAGAAGAGCAAGGAAACAAAAAAGATGTATGGAAAGAAAGCATAATAAAATTAGCTCAAAAAAGAGACTGACTCATTCCACATTATGGAGAAAGGAAATGAGAAAAGGAATATTTAGCTATAAAGGAGACAGGAATGACAAGTCAAACATCATCATGTATGTTATTTCCACGCATCCCAAATTTATCTCATTGCTGTATTCATTTCTTTAATTACAGTACTTACATGTGAGTGACTTTACTTAAACTGTTGAAGGAATGGGCCTCCAGACTCTGAAGTGTTTCATCTATAGAGATGTAGCTAAACACCAACAAACAGAAAATAAACAGGTCTCAGACATTGGGAAGCCACTGCTAGCGCCCATCATACCACTTCATTTTTCCTCTCATTATTTTTCTCATCCACCTATGATGACACTGCCAGACACGTGGACAGTATCTGAGGGACACACTTTTAAAATCCTTTTAAGGATTTTTATTTTGATTGATGCTGTAGATGCACATTATACTGCAGAATATAGTGAAACCAAAACAACACACAACAGTGCAAAGTAGCAGCAAAAGCAGACACCAGTATTTCACAGTTCGGCATCACATTTCTTTCCTTTTTCCCCACTTACGATCACCTTGGATATCTCCAGGAGGAATCTAGGCCTCAGGTAAATTTGCATATTTCTCTTTACCAAAGAACTAAAAAACGGAAGGAAAGAAATGGAAATGATCCTTGGGCCACCACTGCAACAACTGTTGTAATTTCTGTAGAGAGGGATGGGTCATCAGGGCAACTGGCACTTTGATTGCTGAGTAGAAAAATGTGCTAAAGCATGAATTTAGAGAGAAACTCTAGCCATTTAGTGAGTGTCGTAGAGGATGTAAGGAGTAATGTGGCTCAGAAAGCAAGCCAGACAGCAAGCTTAAGAAATATTTATTTGCACACAGTTCAGACTGCGTTGCATTTGTACTAATGGTGATCTATGGAATGTGATGAGAAAATAGCTCTACAGAGTTTCTTCACTATCATTGGGAGAATGATAACATTGTAACTACTGTTACATGCTTTCCCAACCAGCAGATGGCTAATAGCACTAACTGGATGGGAATTTATGTCTTTTCCAGACTGGAGCTAAAAGCATATTGCCTGAATTAATTTTAACTCTTTAACTATGAGATTTATTTTGTATTGATCACTTTGGAGATGTATTCAACTGTCTTTGAAAAGATACCAGAAAAGTAACAGGTAGAGATTGCATAACTAACAGATTCTCTTTCTAGAGTATTATTGTTTTTCCAAAGCTATTTGCCTCTTCCAAAAGGTGGGAAAATAATAAAAGAGGAATACAATAAAAAAGTATTCCAGTCTGTACCTCTGTGACTGAGTGTTGCAGAGTTAGATGTTTATGTGAGATGTTTTAATTTTGTTCTCCTGTAAGTAAGAATGTCTGTTGCCCGGGAAATTGAGGATTCAGTCTCGAAAGAAAATTAATTATTCAATTCTAACAGACCCTACATTTTAACATATCAAAAGACAGGTTATGTTAATGACATATTATAAAACATAAAGTTGCTTTATGTAACAAACAGAGATATATAAATCAGTTTGACAGAAAATTAAATTAAAACCAGATAATGAACAGAGATTGAAGCCTCATGCCAGGGCTAGAAAGTAGGAGAGTACTTTTTTTGTGCTCTATAGTC